ATAACTGTACCAACGTTCACATTAATTAAGCAATTTCAATTTAATCGTAGACATTGTCCTGTATAAGAGTCTAATTCAGGCAATAATAAAATCATGCAATTTCCTGACATGCTTCCTGAAAATAAGAACATTTGAATTAAGAACGCGCTGAGCGAGGCCGTCACCAGCGCCCGTGTGATTGGGCCGTTATTATCCGGTACACGCCACCGGTTGCTGAGGCTCTGTAGACAACATCTGGCGTCGCAGTCGCGCACCGCAACGAGTACAACGCAACTGCTTTGCAAGGCCAACAATATCTTTGCAATTGTATGCCGATCGAACGCTTCTTTGTCCAGTTGCTGATTTAACTTCTCTGTTATTTCGTTGAATGTTGGGGGTGGGTGGGAACAAAATAGAATGAAAATCTCATTTCAGTTCCCCACCTAAGAATTATTCAAATTTCATTCAATTCGCTGAAAACTCAATCATTCAAATCTTAAAAAAAAAATCCAAAAAGTTTGATTTGTAGCCTGCCTGCGCCGCAATAATTCCGGTTTAATCCCACAGAATTCATCTTTTGAACGCGCTTTATTTTTAGTCGGCAAACATGCTGTCGTGCGTAATGCATACGCACAAATAGTAGGCATCACGGCTGGTTAATAGGCATTGACTCGGAGCAATAATTCTAACCCCGAGTATTCAAGTCTTTTTGTCTAAAAGTTTTATATTGAATAACAGCTCCAGTCGGTCAACTTGAATTGAGTTTAATGGGAGGTTCATTCGTGTAAAAATGTGCCAGAAAGACGTCAAAAATGATAAAAAAAATGACGCACATCTTGTCAGACAATTTCGCAAGTTAATCAGTGATTGCAGAGTTCATTTGAAACAAAGTAATTAGTTTCCACGAAAAACGAAAGTCGTGTTCAGTTTGAACGTTGCTTGAGATAATTGTAAGATGTTCGACATGAATATGAGTGAGCCGACATTAGCAGCACTTAATGGTATATAGTTATAAGCACAGAGAAACGAACTACAGGAGCGAAAACGCATCACGTGTCACGACATCATGCGAAGGTATCGCGTGAGGTTCGCTCCAGTTACGCATTAACGAAACTCAGGACTGTCCTTGCATTCGTGCATTCGCTTGCATGTTGACGGAATGAGTTTCAAAATAATGTAGCATGTGGCCTTCTGTAGTGTCCATGCGACTCATGAACTGTATCGTTTCTGTTTTTGTCATCCTAATTGCTACAGTTTACGCTTAAAGACAGACATAAATGTATATATAGCGAAATGAAATAAGTGCAAGCTAAGAATTATGTGCAGTGGACCAGACGCACAGTGAATGACTAATTTAAAACTATGATAGCAAAAATGATAAAAACATCTCAAGAATGTAAATAACTAATATTTCTAACCTCTACCTTGCTAAGGTGAGAGTAAATAGCTTTTTGCGCAAAATTTCATTTCATCATTGATTTCATTCATCATTGCGCCATCCTTCCATTAGGAAAGAAGTACATTAGGGAAGAAGTACAAATGCAACTAAATTAAAACGAAATAATCGACAAGATACAGTAAAATTTATAAACCTAGGCCGATCCTTCACTTTTAATCCGTGTGCGGCAATGAATCTCTTCATATTACGACACCAATCACGTCTTTGTGTAGCATCTAAGTGCGGCGCGTTGGATTTTTTTAATGTTCTTCAGAAACTACCACTGCCGAACGTGAGAGTTTTCAGTAATACGAGTATCTTCAACTGGCTGACGTCCAGTTGATTACAGTAGCTGCTCAGTGCGATAGAGTCTGTTACGTCGGCGAAGGGTTAGTTGATACGAATTAAATTATAGGTGGTATCGCTGAAACTTTACATAAACATTTCAAAAGTATACGTCATGAAAACGGTAAAAAAATACATTAGCAGGCTATCAATTGTTGCGTAATATACATTAAATATCCAGCGTACGCATAGGTAGTCGGCGCGGGATTGGATGACCAGCGGGATCCGTACTCGCTAAGCGTTGAGATTTCCGAGGAATACAAAATAAGTAAACAACCTTCAATTGTTCGGATGATTTCCCAATTTCGACAGTAAAAGCATCGCAAATAGTGAATAATATTAGGAATGCTTCTACCTTTAACAACTCTAATTTTATTTATTAAGAGATACCTGCCGAACAGAGCATGCGCAGATACATAACAAAACTGCATAGTTGCTAGTTGCAATTTGAGAGAACCCTCGTGCGAGACCGCTTGCGAGATGAAGGTTTATTCGACAACATCGAGTGCGTAAAACTTCAAATGGTTTCTTAAGGATGCGGCACTCACTCCGGCTATCATTCACCATCAAATGTTGCGTAATTAAGAACGCATATCATAAATTGCACAAGTTTTGGTATTGGTGAGATCTACACATCTTATATTGTACAAGCGAAACGCATGACTTCGTGCGAGTCCAAAAACTATATCAACTGAACACGGCTTAAAAATTTGTTTTCTGTATCTAATTTGGAAGCAGAAACAAAATTAGGCTGAACTCGACGTCAGATTTCGCGCTCAGCTAACCTAGTTTGTTGACATCGCTGGCTTTCTCTAGTCCATGGCGACTTGCATTGTCCAGACTTGAAGAAATCCGTGCCCATTTTACCAGAATGAGATTTCAAACTAAATACGTCGTAGAACGAGATTGACCAACATAAAGAGATTGTGCGTTAATTTTGACCAGAACGCAAACCAAACCCTCAGGAAGAACTGAGATAAAGTATTTCGGTTTAAACCATACATAAATAAATTATCCACAAAACAGCCTTCTGTCAAAAAAACACCTCCGAGTTAGGGCTTCCGCCATATATGTTGAAGTAAATTGTACAGAACATCGCGACACACCTACTTAAGAAAAAAACTAGAATTAATTAGACTAAGTAAAAAGTGTTGAAAATTTTATTTGGTTATCAACCGCAAACCGGGAGATCCACATTTGTCGTGCGTCACATACTAATGCATAAATTCTGGCCAACATCCCTGATGAAATTTTAAAACAAGGAATTAATTAATACTGTGCTGAAAAAGATCTGCCATCGTATTTTCGACCCTTCTTATTACCATTCTGGTAAACATAATATCAGAACGCAATTGTGATCACAAGTAATTTTTTGGGGGGATTTTAAAAAATGAATCCACAGTATATAATGACCTCTCATCGTAAGCAAATATTATACCTAAAATCTTTCCAGCTACAATTAAAACGAGTAATTTCCAAGCATACAATACTGAATCGAATCAATCTCCATTTACCTGATCGTCTGAAAGGAGTTAAAAAGAGTGTTAAACTGTGGAGAGCTCAACAAGGCTACCTCACCCCAAGACATACAAAGGCACACTGATGGACCGAGCTCACAGGCTGTCACAGCACTCATTTTTAGTATCGATAACTGTACATGGCGAGCACGGACGCTGCAACCTGCGAATTATCTGCGGTATAGACATCAGAAAACCGCTGGAATAAAGCATTGAAATAAACATATTCAACTTGGTGCAGTCTTAACACAGTCGAAAACGTGTTATTGGTGCCGTGATAAACGTGTTATGGGTGCATGCTTAAACGTGTTATTGGTGCATGCTTAAACGTATTATTGGTGCAGTCATAAACGTGTTATTGGTGCAGTCATAAACGTGTTATTGGTGCAGTCATAAACGTGTTACAGGTGCAGTCATAAACGTGTTACTGGTGCAGTCATAAACGTGTTATTGGCGCAGTCATAAACGTGTTATTGGTGCAGTCATAAACGTGTTATTGGTGCAGTCATAAACGTGTTATTGGTGCAGTCATAAACGTGTTATTGGTGCAGGCATAAATGTTATTGGAGCCGTGATAAACGTGTTATTGGTTCCGTGATAAACGTATCATTGTTATCAATCTATATACCTACTGATTGCGCGATAACGCAAAAATTTGCTGAGATGAAATTTTCGAGCATGCGATTGCAAAACGTCAAAAGGGGACTGAAAATATGAAAAATTTTTAGGAAACAAGAATGCAATTGAGTAATAATGGACGAAAAATGTATTATTTTAGAAATAAATATAAAATTTGCCCTTGAAATTGATGAAACTTTGGCAAGTTGTATGTGAGAGATCTACAAAACTAGGTATTAATATTTAAGGATATGAAATGCTAGTAAAGAAAGGGTATTAATTACACTAAATATTGACAGTAGGGTTTCACTAAGATCATCAAATCATGTCATAGGCTTCTTTAATCAAAACAACTATGCTTTAACTTGAATTATTCTTGTGCAAGCAGCGCAGTTATCTCTCTTAGCCGCTCGTTAGTGTGAATTTCGCAGAGTTTAAAATTAATAACAACGTAATAAATTACGCGTAAAAATGAATGCCCAGAATATTAATGCCCAGAATGATGTTGAAATGTCGAATGAAAATGTTGAATGCTCAGAAAATTCTTAGTCAACAGATTTTCATTAGTAAAATTGAACAGCAAAATTATAAAGCAATGATTTTAATTTTATAGCTTTCAAAATGTATAATAATAATAATAATAGCGGTTTCAGCGTTATTAGGCCGTAGGCCTGTCGCCGATTCTTAACGTCGCAGAACATTCACAGCATTTTGCGGTCTCGAACTCGCAACTAACTGCTACAATTCTGCTGTGCTCAACCGCCCGGCCTCCTCGCCGATTCTGACCAGAAACTGGCGCACAGAGCTGGGATCGAACCCGCACCTCTCTGCGCCAATCTTGGTTCTCTGAATTTTATCCACTGGGCCACCCTGCCCATAGGTTTATTTCCAAAGGAACGACAATGGAAATGATATTAAAATAAACAACAAGTATCTAACAATAATAAACATACAAGTATTTCTCGAAAATACCCGGATAGTATCTTGTGCTATTTTTCGTTCCAAAGATTATAAACGTGAAACGAATACAGAAATGACTTTGAAAATTCCATTTTACTTGTTGCCTAAGATCATATTTCTAATTCAATTAATGATAAACGCAGGAGCATGGCGAGGAACTGCTAGCCCCTGCCTCCACGGCAGCCGCCGCTCGACTGCTGGAGCCAACCTCAGTCGCACCGGCGGTCACCCACACATGCCGCCCCAGGAGGGTGAGTTAAATCAATCTCGAGCGATTTGCTTTTAATTATACAAGATGTTTACATCTAAAATATTACAAATAAACAATATGATGCCATACATGTTGTATAATATTGGAAATTGTGGCTGAAATTGTAACCGAAGTTCCATTAATTTCGATGATGGTTTCAGACACTGAATGACGACCGATTTCTGCATGCAATGTATATTCTTTAGTAATAGTTGGAATTCAAAATGTTTAGCAAATAATCTAAACTTCACTCTGCCATGAGAATCGCTGCGCAGGCTAATGCGCAGGCACTATCACTCCCAGTCTGGATTTTCATTGACTCAAATAAAATTCATCTTTTTTACGTAAGCAAATCTGTCATCGATAGTGAGCGACAACAATTTGAGTCTGTGTTTCTCATTTGAAGAAGGACTTCATTTATCTACATGTATAATTAACCGTTGTGAACAACTAATAAAATTTGTACTCTAATTTGTAAATTAATTCCAATTTGTACTCTAATTTGTAAATGAATTCCAATTTGTACTCTAATTCTACTAAATTGTATCTAAAAAAAGACGTCGCTAGTACTAAGCGACAAACAAGGACGGTTCCGTGTGGTGGTTGCCAAATCGCGCCCTAACCTGGGCATCGCCATAGAGGGCGGCGCTGACACCAAGCAGAGCATCCCGCGCGTCATCAACATCGCCGGCAACGGCGCCGTGTTCGAGGCGGGCGGCATCAGAGTCGGCCAACTCATACTTGCCGTCGATGACCAGAATTTGGAAGGTAAATTTTGGATTGTAGAGATTTAAATTTCGTTGATTATTCTGTTTCGTGAAGCTACGAAAGGTTGCAAAAACACAGTTTTTTACAACTTTCAAATATTTTTCATGAATATTCCACGATATATTTACGAAAAACTTGTTTTAGCGCATCCAAGTGTAAATTATGTCAAATTTAGCCGCATCACGGTGAAAATCATGTCAAATTCAGCCGCATCCAATTGTATATCATGTCAAGTTTGGCCGCATCCACGTGAAAATCATTTCAAATTTAGCCGCATCACGGTGAAAATCATGTCAAATTGACTTGACGTATCACATTGTAATGTGAACTTAATTTCAGGGAAGTCGCACGAGGAGGCGGCTAGACTGATTTCTTCGTGCTGGCTTAGCCGCTCCAGACCAGAGATGGAATTTCTGATGATGGATCGCAAGCCTTCACCATCCGACCTTAGAAAATCATCCGCGCCAATCATTCAGAGCTAATCCAATTGTCGGATTTATTCAGCAACGTCCTTCGAGAAAATCCTTGCACAAATCAATGGTTACTACCATAAATCCAATCTACCCGACAAGTTCATCCATCAAGCACAAACATTCCTAGAACAAGTCAGAGAAAATTCATCATTTACCGAGCATGTGATGGAGTAGTTTGGCGATTACCGTCAGATTCATGTCCACTGGCGTCCCAGAATAATGCACTAAATTTGAGTGCGTTCGTTGACAACCTATAAATGGTACGCATCAAGATCATATGACGAATTGAACGCCCGACTGTGAGTGCTACGTAGGGAAATATGCATCGACGAAACACAATGAAGGAGTATGAATTACAGTGAACGTGAACAATATCTGAACATTGATAATGTAAAAAAAGGACTGCTGCAAGCGAACTTTCCCATACAAATAGTGATGATTTTTGTGTTTAAGACGCTTCGACCCAGATGATTAAAATGAATATTACTTTATATCACAAAAAATGGTCAAGTTTTGAGTCGGGCAAAACTGATCTCGTCGAAGCACACGGAGCGAAACTGTGGCCTTAGGTTTTTTTCGACGCAAACGTGTCACAGTTGATAGCAAAGAAGAGATTCAGGTTGGAAAGTGAAACTGAACTTAGAGTAGTTCCCCACACATGTTAAAACATTTTTTCGGAGAGAAGAAAAAAACTTATGACGATGCTGAAATAATCAATTGATGAAGAATAAAGTCGTTGAACACGAAAAGGTCTTAATAAAATAGAACTGCAGCCGCAGCCCACAAAAAAGAACTTGAACCACTGCCGTTTACGGGGAGCAGAGTTCCTGAGCGAATTTAGCCAAATTTTCATGGTGCATAAAAATTGCCTGATTCAATTTTGTATCAAATGAGTTTTAATTGAAATGTAGCTAGTCGAAAAGTTCGACGAACTAAATAACGCATGAACTCACGTAATAAATAATAGTTTCATTACTTAGGATAAATACCGTGATCGGGACACATTAAGTGTTGTAGGTTTTTATGTTAGTATGAAGATAGTTTTATAACTTCAAGCGCACACAAATACACTTAGGTTCTGAGTGTGAGATGGCCAAATAGTGCTCGGTGGAAATAAACCGAGTCTGAGACAATATTGCGCCAAAAATATTTCCTTAACTTGTTAGGTGAATAACGGATACTTAGTAATTGACCACGCTACTGTGGAAGCATGATCGTTATCTGCGCTGGAAATAGGTATTTTATCTTCTCTAAATGGTTGTACGAAGTTCTGCTGCTGCTGATATTTGCTGCTGCTATAATTGAGGCTCAAGACGTGGTCAAGTCGACCATTTGACTCTCAGTGTCCAGAGATTTGAGGTTGCTGAGAACAAAGAGAAGGTAGGAAAAATGAACTGGTTTGTCGGTGTGCAAACAGTGAATCCGTAGGCAATTGTAAAATATGTCTGCACTGATTTCCAAAAAGTTTCACTCACAAACAGCAAAATGGCAGTGAAAGTGTTGAATGATGAGATGCAAACACTTTGCATTCCTAAACTAATTCTGAAAATACTATTAGTAAATTAGTGGAGAGATGGATGGTGAACTTGACCACGTCTAAGAGCTTGAACTCGTCGCATTGCACGCGCCTTTTCGCTTCTCGTTCGCACTCTATGTGGTTAAACTGGAAAGCATTAACCCTTTCACACGCAACGATCCCGGTCGTGATATTCGCTCTTCTGTAACACAACAACTTCTTTAGAAAACAAAATATGCCCGCTTCTATTAATCACAAACTTTACAGGCAAATACCAGCGTAATGTTAATCCCGAAATAGCAGCAGCGTAAATCAAATGTTTGACTAGGTATCTATAATTCTGGGCGCTGAAGGTAAAATGTATAATATGAAACGGAGGTTTTCGAAAAAAGTACAGCGCTGAACGTCGCTGTGGCATTTCTTCCGATTTATTGATAATAATTGGCTAATGAGTAACATGATATTCCTGAATCAATGGTAATATAGCAGGCCACTTAGTTGAAGAGAATTCATAAATATTGCATCAGCTTATATGAGATCACGAAGTTGGCGTCAAGCATGTACAGTGGTTTCCACTACAGTGCGAATTAAATTAGGAAATTCGGATTATTTGAGAAAAAAGCGGACGAATACATTAAGCTCAAATTTTACATCAAGCTTTCCATTGCGAATTGAATAACTTGAGTGTCGGAATATTAGAAAGCAATACCGGCTGCATGAACTTCTTAGGGCCTCTATATAACTTCGCATAGTATAAATTCGGACGTAAGCATTAATCACCTCAATTGATCGAGTATAGAGATGAACTATTTACCTGAGGATCACAAATTGACGATCAAGAAAAGGATCGTTACAAGAAGCTGTGCTAAATCCTGAATATGATCATCGAGTGATGATAATGACGACGAAATGATCAGCGCCTTATTTACACTGTAGCAAACAATGTTTCTTTATTACGTCTAGTTGAATAGATAACAAGTTGGCATTGTTTTTAGTGAAGACTATCTGGCACCTCATTCCTATATTTCTAGTTCTCAAAGCGATCACTTCTAGCGAGATATTTTCCTAATGTTTTCTACACGTCAGAGGCAGTATTTTTTACATAGACTAGAATAATCTTTCACACCAAGATGTCGACACAAGGGTTCCCAATATTACATTAAATTCATTGACTTAGAAATGAATGAATTAAGAAGGAGTTCGAACAAAAGGACCGAACTTTATAACTTAACCTTCTTTAGTGTTATTGATATAATTTCCGTAGGAAGGATAAAGAAATGCAGGTAGTTGTTCCCATTGTCAGGATGTCATGGATCAAGAAGACGTGGTACATCGTGGGACTAATAAATTCACAAGTAAAAGTTAATGAATAATAATTCACAGTTAAACAAAAGTGTTGGTGTGTTTCGCGTAACAAAACAAATTGGCAGTGATGACAGAGGTTATTGATATGGTTAGAATAAGTTGCATGGACTTTGATCAATGTCAAAAACTGATAATTTGTGATATTAATTTCATTTATTGCTTCTTGAATTATAACGATATTTTAGAGAAAAATCGACTCCAAGAATTTCTTAAACCATCAATACAACTAATAATCAAATAATATAGTTGACGATTGCAGTTATAATTAAATTTCAGATTTAAGGCCCTTCTATCAGGTGAAGTTTATTATCTAATTATATTATTATTAGTTCATTATCAAGAGTCGGTCATAACGCGTTAATTTTACTTCAGACTATCATTCTAGGTTTTCATTAGCTAAGGAGTTTTCAGCCATTTTCAAACTAAAAAATTGTGTGGTATCATCTTAATTCAATACACAATGAGAAGGAATTTTTTTACGGAGAAGATGGTAAACTCTTTTTTTTTCATAATGCAGAGTCGATTTTAGGGAAAAAAATGAATATGCTAGTCATATACGCCTCTTAATGGGAACGGAATGTAATTTTATAACGTAAAACAATTTGTTTTCATTATTATTTGAGAAATGGAGAACTGCTTACCTTGTCTCTGCGCCATCAGCTCGTGAGTCAAGCCTGAAAAATAATTGAATACTTTCAATCAAAATAATTCAAACACAGGAGTAATTTTTTAGCATGATAAAATGAATTCCGAGTATCAAAACGAATAAGTTCAACCTTCCGGTACTCGATTCCAAATCTAAAAGGAATAGGTTCAACCTTCCCGCTCCTGTCTCATAATTTAGAAGGAATAGGTTTAACCTTCCCGCTCCTGTCTCATAATTTAGAAGGAATAGGTTTAACCTCCCTTCTCCTGTCTCATAATTTAGAAGGAATAGGTTTAACCTCCCTTCTCCTGTCTCATAATTCAGAGGTCAAATGAGATAGGGTGCATTAACCATGTCTTGAAGCTATATTATCACAGATATTTTATCAGATCTTGTATTGATGTTAGGAACTAAAGCCTGTTGTGCAATACACAATAATATCGGGAAACATCTTCACTGGTAGAAATTCAGTTTAGATTTCAGAAGGATATTGTTACTGTTTCATAAAAAATCTGATGAAATTATGATGTCATGACAACATTGAAATTCCTATATTTCACTTATGAAATTACAACATAGTGTAGTAGATGAAATTACAGTACTAATCTAATGAAAATTTAAACATAGGATCAGAAATAGGTACGAAAAGCAATCGAGTTTACCAAACAAATAAAAATGAATTCTTGCTCATAAATTTCAAGGGAATAATGAAAATCTGATTGAATGAATAGAAAATTATTTTGAAAACGTAGTAATAATCTTTTGATTTTAAGAAATAGTTCACTTATGTTTTGATATCCCCAAATTACCGCGGATTAACAGCCAACGTTAATAAATAGCAATTAAAGCAAAACTCCTTCGTACAAACCTAACTGCTATTTCAATACGAAACAATTTATTTTCCCCAGCCAAACACAATCCGGAAAAAGAATGCGAAATGGAGAGATGACTTGATGAGACTGACGCTTAGACGCATTTAAGAGCAACATTGACACGTGTCTTAATAGTTACTAACACGCATTCCCAGTGAAAATTTAGACGCGGCAGCTTCTGATATGGATTACCAGAAGCTGGGGCGACTCTAAATTTTGTTAGGGTTATTACCTATGCCTATACGTGGGGTATATCGTTATACCCGCGCCAAAAGTGCGTAAGAAATGTAGCTTACCTGCTGTATAACACCGTCTTGTTGATTATTGTATAGCCTAATATAAATTTGTACGTTATTACTTATACAAAGCGAAGTATATCAAGAATAATAGAGGCAGGGTTTTTGGTCCCTGACACGACTTATTGCTGTTGTTGTTGCTGTGAGAACGATTATCTTGCCAGTAAAGGCGTTCATCGGAGCACTCTTTTTAATGCCCTTGAATTACTTTTAAATGAATTCAGGTTGCAACTTAGTACCGTAGTCTTAAATAATTTTTCATCCATCTTAGCAATTTTAACATGGTAATTAAATATATTCTGAATATGGTAGAGTTTATGAAGGAAGACGGTCAATAGATAGAGAATATTTAGCGTGATCGTGCAGTAGAATTTTCCAGTGGATCCATGATTGCCAAGAAAATAGGCGTGCTCCCCAAAAGAAAAATGTGACTGACTTCACCTAAAAATTGCGTATTAACGAGGAGCGGTATTCCGTTCCTAATAAATTTACTCACCAAGCTTGGTTGCGTGAATCTTGCTGATGATCACGGGCTGAGGAAGGTTTGATGAAGAGCAAGATAAACTGTACTCTGAAATTAAATAAAAATATTAATAATATAAAGATACAAAACAATTCTGAAGATCATCGTCAAAACACAAGCAAATAAACAACACAGAGGCAGATAATTTAGCTACAACTAATTAGATGGCGCATAAAATAAATAAACAACAAAAAGAAAAAATGTAAAGTAAATCTCTTAGATGCCATAAACGAGATAAAAAAGAGCTGGCAAAAAATCATGAAAACCCCCGTTATCAATCAATAACGAGCACATCAAATTCATAGCGTTGAAATTCAGCAGGTCAATGTGAAAATGGAACGTAAAATATAATTCAACACAAAGTGATATCAGTACAAACCAACTAAAGGTACCTGCAAATTTTTAAATAATTGAGTTTCATGTGCTATGAAAATACCTCGCATTGATGCCTAACATTCTTCCCGGCATGGAAATCTCGCAGTTATCCTGGCATGGCCTGCGACGTCGCTGAGATGAAACGCTTCGATCGCAATCAAGAAAAGAAGCACAAATAAATCGAAGGTACACGATGTACACTGGGGCTTAGTTTGTGCAGTTATCACTGTCAAAATTTAAATTATCATTTGTAGGAAATTCTAGATTATTTCACACTATAAATTGTTTTCCGTATTTACCAAAACTTCCAACCGCTTGTTATTGTGGGTTAAAATGTTCCAGCACTTCGAGTTGACAAAAAAAGTGACGAATATGATTGCTAGTTTTGTAACATTGTTTCAAAACAACTAACACAAACTGCTTTCAAGATTGGCACACGCATGGGGACACGTAGTATAAGTCACAGAATCACTGCGAGCTATATGGAAAAGATGATTTTTTCATTAGATGGAACGCCCAACACTGAAGAAGAGAAACGTCTGATTCAGTTGCTCCGACAGCCAGAAGGATTTTTTGGAGCAAAGATTCGGGTAATTCAAGGACATTACTGAGAGCCGCCAAAGAACTGGATGCAGGAGGCTCAGATGCACCACTCGTGTGGCCTGATGCTCCCAAAGGAGTTGACGATGATGTGAAGTGTTGTGCAGTCTCAGAATGCAAATCCTGAATAGAAGGATAAAATTGACTCGCATTTTTCAACTTGCTAATATCTTCCTCTGTAATGGACGGGTAAAGGGTATTCCTGCTTTTGGAAGGTGTATCAGTTTTTGCTTTTAGACTAGTAGGCATGAGTAAGGCTGGCGTTACCAAACTCGTAGTTGCGTTTTCGACTGCAGGTCCAGTCAAACGAGAAGATATTGAAACGGGAGAATTTGAAGTGATTCGTGAATCAGTAGGGAGGCTAGTAATGGGTGTGATTTCCATAGTTTCAAGGCTGCTGTCACAAGTAGCCTGGAACGCAGTCCTGTTGTCTCCGGTGTTGAAAGCTATCGCTCTGCTAGACCGTGTCATGTTAGTTTTCGTTCGAACAGCATCCGTTGGACAGGGATTTGGGTCAGTAAGCACAGCAGTGTGTTTATGAGATTCTAGTGAATGGTAATTCTCTTCAAATGCCGCCGCTTCACGAAGGTTTGGGTAAAGACCGACGGCCTCATAACGGTTACAACTGTTGTCTTGAGCAAGAAGAATTTGGTCTAGATTGCGTTTTTGACGAGAACTTGACAGGAACTTCGGCCACTGTGGAGAGGAAAGCGAAAACCCAAAGGTTGTTTTTGCCTTGCCGGCTCCTGGTTGATCAGAAACAATTGGCAAGACTCGAGTTTTGGCGATGTTGTTGGCAGCGATGCTGGCCTGCTGCTGTGTCAGTAATTGCTCCCACAACTTAGCCTGAGAAAAAAATGAAGCAGCTAATATATTTTTTAATTAACTTTACAGTATGTGTTATACCTGATAAAAAAATTGCAATTTTTAATATCAACAGCCTACATCTGACTTCTTTCCTGAGACCTACAAAACCGACAGAGAAGCTCTAGCAGTAATCACTTCTTTATAATGAAACCCACGCATTTTTTCGTTACAAAATGCCGTACCCAAAATTATTTTCGCAAAACCAAATTACACATGTAAATACTAAAAAAAATGAAACACATATTTTAGCAGGAACCTTTTATACGATATAGTCTCATTGTAAGCCCGCACCTTATTGCACCACGTAGAGAGTGCGTGGTGCACCGTAAGTTGCAACGTATCATCACGAAGAGCTGGGTTACTGCAGGCTGACGTGATGGTGCGTACTAATGAACACGACCTACGCTGCGCTGTACCAGACGCACTTGTCACCAGGGAGGTGCTGTCGTAAGGCCGCCCTGACACGTCTTGAAGCTGAAATTAATAAATAAATTTGTATGATTTTTAAAATTGGATTATAAGATAGACATCTGTATACCACCAACCATCGAGGACACAAGTTTGTTCTTGATTTATGTTCAAAGGAGTTCATAAAATTATGAATTTTTCATTCAAGAGAATAATTTTCTGAGAAATTATCTCAAAATAAATAATTAACACAAATAATTTAATGCCCGAAACCATCTAGTAGTTATAAATTAAAGGTCGAAGCCCACTTCACTAGGACTAAATATTACATCTTAGAGAAGAGCAAATGACGTCTTATCTCGCTGAACGCACCTCGAGAGTACAAGTCTTAACGACTTGCTGCAGCCACAAAGAAGGATTGCAATTGCTAACATTCGTCCAAGAACAGGAAGCATTATTTGCTGGGTCGGGAAGAGGTGTTGCCGCGTTTAATGTAGTACAGCCGACGTCATTCTTGGGGAATCTGTCGAAGCAGCTGGGATCTGATCGTGGATCATTGAGGCGCATACACTGAGAGGCGTTGTCCTTTGAAAAATTATTCACTTTTCCAGTGTTCTTGGGGATGAGAAGAGGAGGGTTCAGCTGATGCACTGCAGAACGCAATGAAACTAAAAGAACTAAAGTATCCATTTCAAGAGCGTCATAAGCTTCAATGGAGGGTGAGTTTGGGAGACGAAAATAATTCTGTGACTTGGCCTGAATTGAGTAACTATTATTTACGTTCCCCGCCAAGTTTTTATGGCTATTTTCATCAGTAGACATTCTCTGAACTCCGGTATCAGGCCGTTCAGTTGTTTTTGTATTGGCTGGATATTTCATATCGTAATCAAGGTTTGGTTCATTAGATTTGAGATCAACAGACACCAGGTTCCAGAGAAACTTGGGAATGCAGTTCCTCACGGCGCCTATTAAAGGACCAAGGGCATAAGCCGTTTGCTCATCATACCGAACTACTAGCGGAAACCCAAAGTAGAGATGCTGAAGTAGAAGACCAAACTGATCAACAGCCAGTAGATCACACAGTTCCCGAATTGATAAAACCTCGTCCAAAGGCACAGCATTCGTGGCGCCATTTACATCGTTGAAAAACATGTTTTCATTTCGGTTGTTATCGAAGTGCTGTATGGTTGGAGGTAGATGTTCCGGCTCAAACTTATCAGATTCAACGCCTGTTCCCGATGATTGTAAATTAATTTTGTTATTAGTAAATGAAGAGTCTTCACTATTGCCTGTATTCCCATCATTCACAATTCTATTTGAGACTTGCACATTTTTTGTGTCGTTTGGATAGTCTGATGCGGCATCCAGTTGCATCTTCATGTTAAAATCTTCGTTAATCGCTTCTATGTCAGACGCACAATCAACATGTGGGCAGTTCTCTAATATATTTGAGTTGTCTCTTGAAACACTTCGGTCTCCAGTGACGTCTTTGAAACAAATTTTTGCCCCTCGGCTGTCATTCGAATCAGTTTTTGTACTAATGAAGGTATTGAAATGATCCTCTAGGTCACTATCAACCTTTATACCAGATCTTCTTTCGTTAGAAATCTTTACTAGATTCATTCCGTCTTCTGAACAGCTTTTTGATAAACTGTTTCTGCTATTGCTTGATTTTAAGACATCACCACATTTATCTTGACCACCACGATAATTTCTACATTCATCTGGGTCATCAAGAACTCCTTCGTCCTGTAATGTTTGAGGAGAATGTGGCACAAAACCAATGACTTCTACGAGTCTCGCTCCAGCCGCGGCCATGAGCCATACATGGGCGGTATGAAGACGTTGCCAGATCGCAGAGCACGCCACCAAAACCGGCAGGCCTCGAGCAGTGTCTGCAGTACAGGTTATATTTACATACATACAGTGTACATACAGTATTACAGTGAAAATTTTTATTTTAAGGTTTACTAATTCTAGGAGCATGAGCTAGAAATTGGAGCAAATATAACACGAGAAGACAAAAATTGCACTGACCTATATGACGGTGAGGCAGTTCAGTCTGTACACGTTTGTTGCAGCTGCCACCTTCCTTGTTAAAAACCTAAAAAAAATATTAATAGGTTAGGAACAATTCGAGAACTATTCTGAAAAAAACTGGACAAAACCTCTAAAATTCAACTAGGTCTGTGATATATATAGATGAATATATAATATAAAAAATCTTTAAATAGAATCTGAAGTTGCTATCTTGCCTGAAGAGCTTGTTGCTGTAATTGATCAACCAGGTTCTTTAAGTGCTGTACAAAAAATGTCCAGGCTGAAAGGAGATAAGCACGCTCCTTCACCAGCACCAGAAAACTGTACCTGCAAAATTGAATCTATAATGAAATAAGGACCTGTAAATTGACTTAATGAATAACTTAATAATGTTGGTTAATTGAAACATTTTTAAAAAAAATTAAGAATGGACTAGGTAATAATTGATCGTAAATTTATTAGCATATTTTTGAAAAATTAAACATAATATTTGTTCTCAAAACCAAGATAGTCTTTTATAGAAGGAACAAAAACAGATAAGAGACTAAATTAAAGAAATGAATGAGAAATAAAATCATAAAATGGCTTAGTAGTAAATGTTTATTGGGCTCTGACCAGCGCTTTAGTCCACGAGCCTGGACATCACGGAGGCTAAAACAGTAGGAGAGAACATGGCCTCTGACGTCATCACCAAAATATACACAGCCTTCACCACCAGGGCAAACCTAGAATAGATAAACATTACAATATAATATACACATTATATAATATCATTATTATTTACACATTATAACATCATGTTTTGCCATTAAAAACATTAGTGTTAATTGTGAACAGATAGTGTAGTCCAACTGGGTAATATAATTGTGTCAAGAACTTTAGGTACTTTAATTTGCTACTATAATATGGCCAGTCAGCGCACCAAAGCAATGGAAAAACGATCATACTAAAGGGCAGAATGTATACATTTATGATCTAAACTAGAGATTTTCAATCAAACTTCCATAGATTTTCAATCAAATTTCCATCATAAAATGATATGGTCAAAACATTACTGAGCGCTCACTCACCTCACAGCTAAGGGAACGGAAACATGCTGACTTGAGAAGTGCAGCAACAGCCTCATTCAGAGGCACTCGGGAGCTCACATAATAGATGCCTCTGCCCTCAGTCACCAAACATCCCTAATTGTTAACAAATGAATTGCATAAAATTGATTAATTTACATCCAGTTCAATGACAATAGCATCATCACAGTTGAGGAATATATAATCAATAAAAACTTTTGTCCCAAGGATTTTACATAATATCAAAAAGGAGTTGATTAACTCCTCTTACTTATTACGTAAAAAATATTCATAGTAAATTATGAAGATTCTTACATTTTCCATTATAAATGCTTGACAAGCTGCACATTCATCTTCTGAGGTTAACGAGCTGCACTCACGAGCCTGCTGCAACTAGAGAAGAATCTCTTCATTAGTATTTAAGAAACTAAGTCAATTAAAAATTTTTAAGCAAATTAAGCATTAAATTCAGATAACTAGAATAAAAATGTTATTAAGTAAATGTGAACTCATCTTGCACACAGTCACCTTACTGTCATTAAGACTGAAACAAGTAAATTCAGCAAAGAGTTCAAGATACCAAAATAATAGAAGATTTATTCTAAATTGACTTCAAGACCAAAATAAGCAAGCCAAATATGAAAAACTTCAGCAATCACGTAAGATTGAAATATTAAATTTAATTCAAAAGTTATAGTAAAGATATCAGAAGATTTACTGAAAATTATTCAAAAAGTCTCTACTTTGTGGATTTAGTCATGTGTATCTATTTGTATTTAGTCATATGTATATATGTATTTAGTCATATCTACTTTAGTCATATGTAAATGTCTATTGTTATTACTAAAGGTGTTTTCCTACTTTTAAATTGATTGTAGCTGTAGTAAGAATGAACACGACAATGGGAGGTTTTATTTAGACATAGTTGGGCCTAAAAGCAACAGATTTATGCTTAGGATATTATGGTAAAGTTACGTTCTATTTGATAGTAACCACAATTTCCAGAATTCCACCTACAGTCCCACTCCCACACACCAAGACCTTGTTACACTTTTTCAGAGCTTAACTGAAAAAGTGATGGGAAGCACTGGTATTTTTCTGCAACACTACCATCAATAACACAAAATTTGCTACTCAACACATATGTATATACCCAATCAGAAATATCCAGCAGAATTTTTCAAACATTACACATAAAAACTATGGTTTAATGGACAATTTTTAAAAATGTGTAGGCAAAAATGTATAATTTTTTCAATTTTTTTTAGGAAAAAAATAAGGCAATGCTACAACAAGGGGAAGAAAGTGACAGCAGGAAAACCAGAAGGCTCCACACTTGAGGATGAGGGGGGGAGGGAGGGTTGCAATTTGGGGGCACTACAAAAGTGCTAATTGTTAAGAAAATGGCAGTGATATTGGTGCTGGAGCGCTGTAGTGCACTTGTTGAGGGTGCCCTGCTCTTTTTCCAGGGCATTTGCTACCTACTATTTTGGCCTACATGTTCCTAATTTACATAGGTACATGGTCATCTAAAAGGTATGTAGAATGCCACCATGCTGGCCACTAAAAATCATATTATAGTTGTTAGAACTATATAAAATATAAGGCAGAATTTTGCAAAATGTGTAGATGAAGTATTATTTCAAAGGCAATTTTTGATTAAAATTGTGATAAAAAATGAACCATTCTTTTCAATTCATGTGGTATATATTTGGCAATTGACATTGGAAGAAGACATAGGATATATCTAACTTCCAAGTGTGACCACAGCTTTTCAACCCTTATTGGAGCCATGAGATTCCTGCTTCTATCTACATAAATACTACTTACTAACCTTGCCAGTAGCACTCAAGTTACCAGCCTCAAATATCAGCAATCTTTTTTATGAACAAAACTGAACCACATCCTTCTGGCATGATCAAAACAGTTCAGTAGTCATCATGTGGTTTTGAACCCTAAAAATCAAATTTCTGACCAGTTTTACATGGTTTTATATTGATGAGCTGCAAGGTACCATCAAACGGGATGATAAGGTACGGTTTTGAGCGTTTTTTGTTGATAACTTCTTACCATAAAACATTTCATAAAAAAGTTTGGGTTAATTTCAAAGCTCTTTGCAAGGGCTATCATAGGGCATTGCTGAAAAAAATCCTTTATGCTATTCGTAAGGTGCCAGATGCAATATAAAAGCATTCCGAATTACCCCTGTAAAGGGGTAATCCGGGACACTTGAAATATAACTTAATTTCAAAATGTTTGAGGCATGCAAAGTGTATTCGTCCCTTACTAACAGTACTCTGAAGTCCTCTTGAGAGGACTTCAGAGACGTGATATTACCATTATCCATGGACATGCCATTGAGCATTTACAAGGACCTTGTCCATTGCAAGCTTCATATGAGCAGCCGTATAGCATTTCTTTGGTACCTGTAAGCTCACAGGATGGCTTGTAATTTCACACCATTTTAATTGGGTCAAGTGAAGTCACTATAAAAATAAGATCATAAAAAATACCTGAAACAGAGGGGAATATTTTAGTGAAAACCATCATATTTTTTGGAGAAATAAATCATAGTTTATGTTAATTACTTTTCATTCTATGCAGCCTGGGGCACAGTTTTATCTATGACATTCTATGCACAATTTTGTGAGGACCAATGATCCACTATGATTAATGCATCATTGATTACCAATGATTAATTTTTTGTTAAGTGAAATATTTCTTGCTGAGCAAGGTAAATATAATCAAAATTTTCTGTTGTCAATTGATTTTTTAGTTACCGTCAACCGGGGCTACTCGGGACAGATTTGAACAATTAGTTTTAAATAACAGTTAATAACTTCTTACGATGAAACATTTCATAAACAAGTTTAGTCTCATTTTATAGCTGATTGGCAGGGCTATCGAATGGCGTTGTCAAAAAATTCCATATGCTATTCGTAAGGTGCCAGACGGAAAATAGAGATTGTCCTGAGTAGCCCCGTCGGTTGGGGCTACTCAGGACAACGGGAATAAAACTTCATTTTAAAACATTTGAAGCATGCAGAGCGTACTCATCCATTACTAACAGTACTCTGAAGTCCTCCTCTTTCATTGTAGATGATGTAGAGGTAGAATAAATTATATACATTAATTACCGTATTATTGATGTGACATTATCGTATTATTGATGTGATATTACCCTATCCATGAACATGCCATTGAGCATTTACAACAACCTTGTCCATAGCAAGCTTCATATCAGCAGCCTTATAACATTTTTTTCGTATTTGTAAGCTTACAGGAAGGCTCCTAATTTCACATCATTTTAATTAGGACTTCCTGTGATCATTAACTTCCCATGATCATTAACTTCGCGTGATCATTAACTTCGCGTGATCATTAACTTCGCATGATCATTAACTTCACATGATCATTAACGTCGCGTGATCATTAACGTCGCGTGATCATTAACTTCCCGTGATCATTAACTTCGCTTGATCATTAACTTCCCGTGATCATTAACTTTACATGATCATTAACTTCACGTGATCATTAACTTTGCGTGGTCATTAACTTTGTGTGGTCATTAACTTAGCTTGATCATTAACTTCACGTGATCATTAACTTCACGTGATCATTAACTTCACGTGATCATTAACTTCGCGTGATCATTAACTTCACGTGATCATTAACTTCACGTGATCATTAACTTCCCGTGATCATTAACTTCACGTGGTCATTAACTTCGCGTGATCATTAACTTCACCTGATCATTAACTTCACATGATCATTAACTTAGCGTGATCATTAACTTCACGTGATCATTAACTTCCCGTGATCATTAACTTCACGTGGTCATTAACTTCGCGTGATCATTAACTTCATGTGGTATTTAACCTTGCATGATCATTAACTTTGCTTGATCATTAACTTCGCCTGATCATTAACTTCCTGAAAGGAATGTTTTAGTGACAACCAGCCTATCTTTTGGAGAAATAAATCATAGTTTAGGTCAATTACTTTTCATTCTATAATGCCTGGTGCACAATTCTATACATGACATGCTATGCACAATTTTAAGATGACTGATGATGCACAAATTTTTCGATAAGTGAATTTTTTTTCGCTGAGCAAGGAAAATGTGATCAATATTCTTTGTTTTTAATCAATTTTTTTCATAATTGAAGCCTTTGCTAACTGAGGTTCTACCCTTAATGTGTTTTTGGGGGTGTCCCGAATAGCCCCGGGGGGGTGTCCCGAGTAGCCCCGCCGTGCGGAAATGGCTGCCATTTCTTTTTGGAATTAGATAGGCAAATTCTGTCAATTATGTTTTCAAGCCGACACCTGGGTGCAACTTTTATGTAAGTAAACTTTTTTAATATGGCGAATATTTTTTTTGCTACATACCTTAGCAGTTGTAACTTTACAAAACATAGTTTTTCACCATTTTTTTTAGGAATTTTTCAAAGCAAGTAAATGTAGTATTTTTCGACTTCCTTTATACTAGATAGATAGGAAAAATAGTTACGTTTACACCACTATTTTTAGTTTTGTGATATTCCAATTAGTTTCGCTACTACAACAGTTTTACGCCGTGTCATAGGCCTGTCCCGAGTAGCCCCGCCTGTCCCAAGTAGCCCCGGTTGACGGTAACTGTAGCCTATACAAGTCAAAGTTCTACTGTAGATACATTTTCAGGAGCATCCCTTATCATCCCAGGGGGCTGGGGGTTGTCTCATATTACCCCATCTTGCAGTAATGGCCACCATTTTTTTGGGGAATGAGATACACTGTGGTCTGCATTAAATTCTAATATATTTTTAGAGCACTTCTAACTGCATTTCAGAATATTTTCAAGTTCTGTTGCGTAGAGTGCATCAACAGCTACAAAGTGGTACTAAGATATGATTCTCTGTGTCAGTAGTATGACAGATATGAGCGAGAGAGACGCAAGTAGTATGACAGATATGAGCAAGAGAAGACTATGGTGCATCTTATTGTTCCTGAGTCTGGTGTGAATTACGCTCTTTTTTCATCATTTGTAATCCCAATTATAAATATTCCAAAACAATAATTTTACTGCAAATCATACTCATTGTATAGGTAATGATGCACAGTAAGATATTATATTGCCAACAATATTATATAACAGGAAATTTTTTAAATAAAATATTTCGAAATAATATGTAGCTTATATGCTACATCCGGCAGTAAGTAACGAGATGGTATTGGCAACTGAGTAGAAGAGCATCTTGAACGCACTATCATATATCTAGGTATGTATTATGTTTTGCTTATTATTATAAAATATTGTTTTATAATTATGTGATATCAATGAGATATTTGCAGTCCAAAGAAGTTATTATTTACATTAGTTTGCAGATCCATCATGTCTCATGCGCAACCGGACCCAAGCAGATCTAACACGGAACACTTGACCGAATATGAAAAGCTACAGAAGCGCTCTGCAATTCTTCAGTGTAGGAAGTTTCTGACAATATATGAAGCTGTAAAGATGGTACTCTGTCCTGATGTTGATAGATCTGATGAAGATGATGGAGAATTTGAATCTGCTGTATATGGTGATATTGAAGAAGATACCATCCAGCTTATTCGCATCATGCCAAATATCAAAGTTCATAATGGTGTATCTGAAGATGATGTTTCGCTTTCAATTAGGACAGAGCAACAGAGAGCAGTAAGAATGTAATAAATGATTTCGAATGGAGAAAACAAGATATCTCTCTGCCTAATGATATTGATTGGAAAGATGGTCTAATTATTCATGAAGAATGGCAAACATTTAGTGCAACTTCATTTTTCAATTTGATGATGCCCTTATAGACTTCATTTTCCAACAAACTAAACTGTATACACTACAGCAGGAGGAAAAAAAGAGGGATGAGAAAGCTTAGACCCCGGTGTCGAAGCAAATCGTGATGCATGCAGTAGCAGTGAAGTGATATGATTATAAGTCTGTTCACCTTCTATCAACTCTTGCTGGCATCACTCCAGCAGACACCGTCAGGAGATGGGACAAAAAAACAAAACAGGCACATTGAAATAAAGAGACCATTTGTTATAAAAGAATAAAACAAATTTATGGGAGGCGTCGATCTAAGTGACATGTTGATCTAACTTTACCACATAGATTTCAAATCTAATAAATGGTACTTGAGAATTTCTTCATTTTCTAGACATGAATGTGGTGAATTTTTGGATTTGTTTAAAATGAAGTGCCACAAGCTGAAATCAAAAGTGACGTGTCTATCTGACTTCAAGGAAGATCTAGCCATTGGTTTGATGACTCCATATTCAACCTAAAAATCTGACCAAGCAGAGTAAATAGAGTTGCTACCAGATAAAGAAGGAAACTCTCGCCTCCATTAGACGCTGTGTATTTCAACAATATTGGTCATTTGCCATTTATTGCTGAAACTAAGCAAAGATGCAAGTTTAGTTTGGAAGGTTTCATTAAAGTAAGATGCAACATATGTAATGCAGGTTTATGCCTTACTAGAACAAAAACATGCTATGTGCGATAACAGACTAAGCAGTCATCCAAAATTGTCCATATCTGCCGGATGTAGACTACAGGCAATATTTCGTAACTTTTTCAAATATAGGAATACTTCATAACTATTGTACTTTCTATATTATTTAACACATCAATAACTCATTTTTAGCATTAAAATATTTTATTTTGCATCACAAGATAATTCAGGCATGAAAGGGTTAACTTGCTTTATGCTACATAAATAGTAAAAATGTCAAACTTTACCTCTCTACTTTTACTTTTACAATATTTAAATTTTCTAGTTTAGCTGCTACATTTCAACAAAATATGGGATGACTTTCATGATTTACCCTGCCTGTCCCTTATTAGTACCCAGTTTGACAGTATGTCCAGTTTTTTCAGAGTGGTGATTGGTGACCTATGTGGCATGCATGGCAGGGCTGGAAAATTCCTACTTTTTTCTGAAATGTCCTGGCTCTAATATCAGAGAATTTCAGAAGGAATGAAATCATGCAGCAATAATGTCATGTATTTTTGCTAGATTGAAAAATCACTTTGCAACTTTGCAAACATGTTGTTTCATAAAATTTGCAACTTCTGCAATGATGACGCAATCCGCATTACTTTAATGTTCCTGCTTGAGTTGAAATGTTCCTACTTGAGTTCTGTTTGCTTTATGTCACTCTCAAAACACCGCACTATGCGCCAGCAACAATGAAACATCACAAAATGTTGCCATATTTATTTAAAAGCCTTTAGAATGCAAGCCTACCAAATCCATATATTCCAACGCTGTGTGTGACTAAATTTGGCATTTTGTGAGACTAATTCCGGCCATGCTTCAAACTCTACTAATTTGTAATTCTGACCCTCTTGTGTTCAAATTCCGATCACTGTGTGAGCTGTATTGGAATACAACACAGCTCAGAATTAGAACACTATTGAATATTGAACACTACTTAATTAGGCTTTTAATTAAGAGCTATTAAGCTTTTAATTAAAAAATTTAATTTTTGCATACAGCTTGGAATGAGCTATGTGTGTCTAATTCCAAGCTGTGTCGGAATTAGTTTTTATGTGTCTAAAACCGTCTCTTAACTTAATCATCTATTAATTTATTTACAACTTGAAATCAGCAAATACAAGTTTACTTAAAGGATTCCTAATATATTCACAGACTTATTTAAAAGTCTCAAACCATAATATTCTGTCTACATAAACAGTTCATCACTATTTGGTAGAGCAAGGTCAACTATCAACTTTGACACATTTTTCAATGTTCTCACTGGGTGATGCGCACTGTCTCTCTTTGGATCTCAACATTTTCCCGCCAGACGGCCCAGACCTAGTGTTTTGGCAAAAGTATGGCGCGCATAGTGGCAAAGCAGTGAGTTTTTAGACTGTCTCAAGTTCATTTTTGAGTCCTATAAGTAGACCAGTAAAGTATCATGGATACCAGCATTATCATACTTGAGAAAGTGGTTAAAATCTTGAGTAGGGTAAACGCGGTATGTTCCGACATTGTGGGTAATTCTGTCACCTCTCTAGTTTTTCCTTTATATTAGGCTTTGTTTTAGTTCCATGCGTTTGTTGATGGTTGACATGGTGACGTCATACATTTGCGCGTCAAACTACTGCCAAAACACTAGGTCTTGGCCATCTAGCAGGAAAATATTGAGATCCAAAGAGAGACAATGCACGCTACCCAGTGAGATAATCAAAAAATGTGTCAAATTTGACAGTTGACCTTGCTCTACCAAATAGTGAATAACTGTTTGTATAGGAAGAATATTATGGTTTGAGACTTTTAAATATGTCTGTGAATATATTAGGAATCCTTTAAGTATACTTGTATTTGCTGATTTCAAGTGGTAAATAAATTAATAGATGATTAAGTTGAGAAATGGATTTAGACACATGAAAACTAATTCCATCTAACTTGAATTGGACACACACAGATTGTTCCAAGCTGTGTACAAAAATTAAAATTTGCTTAATTAAAAGCTTAATAGTTGTTAATTAAAAGCGTAATTGAGTAGTGTTCAATATTCATTAGTGTTCTAATTCAAAGCCGTGTTGTATTCCAATACAGCTCACACAGCGAACGCCGAACGGAATTCGAACACGTGGATGACGGCATTACATATCAGTAGAATTTGAAGTGCGGACGGAATACCCCTCACCACGTGCCAAATATAGCCACACACAGTGACGGAATATAGGGATTTGGTAGGTTTGCATTCTAAAGGCTTTTAAATAAATATGGCAACATTTTGTGACGTTTCGTCGTTGCTGACGCGTAGTGCGCTGTTATGAGACTAAGAGTCACATAAAGCAAACAGAACTTGAGACTTGAGTAATGCATATGGTTATTTTTTTATAGTTTTTCATTTCTCGATGCGTCCTTAATGTGATGGAATATACCGCGTTTACCCTAAATGAGGAAATTAAAAATGAACTGATTCTAAAAAATCTCTGGTTTGTCACTATGAATTGGCATGCAATAGTATGAGAACGTCACTATTTCAACCATCTACGAATGCGTGGAACTAAGACGAAGCTTAAAATAAAGGAAAATGTTGAGAAGTGTCGGGATTAGCAACGATGTCGGAATATACCGCATTTACCCTAAGCTTTTTCAATCACACTAGAAAGTTATGGCAGAGTGGCAGCAATCTGAGCAATGGCTTAACTAGCCACTAGTTACATTAAAAAAATAGACCATTTATTTGAAAGTCAGTGTCTCAGTGACATCACTGTTCACTGACATGCATCAATCATCATCTATGCATGCATGGCATGCAGCCATGGTAAATTTAGTGGTTTTAACTGAATAACTTTTTCAATTATTCCATCAATATAAATCTTCTCATTTCTAAAATTACAATTAGCTCAATGGGGTCGAAACAAAAGGCAGCAGCCAGCAACTGAGCAAGTCCAATAAAATGAAACCCCATGAGCATGAATTAATATTACGTGCAGCAGTGCAGGAGCAATCTAAGACTAAGTGTACCTTCTTCTTCTTTTCCACGCTGGGTGAACTTAATTAAAGCCACAGGACAACCGCAAGGATGACCGTTGGGCCTGAGAGCTTCTGCAAGGCACTGCAGCTAGGTACCAGTAATACATAACATACCTGTTGGGCCTTGAGAGCTTCTGCAGCTAAGTGTACCGGTAATACATAACATACCTGTAGTGCTGTTGGCAATTGTTGATGGGCTTGTGTGCAAAATACAACTCTTGGCCCATGAAGCTCACAAAAGTGACAAATAGCTAGTAATCCATCCATACTTTATCAACAACTAGTAAAGCATAATAAAACTTGCGTAGTAAAAAAATTTTATCAACTGACCAGAAAATTGTTAAAGAAATACTAGTTTCAATTTCGATCGGAATCAGCTGATAATGCTCGATCAGCTGACCGTCAATGCCTTATGCCGATAAGGTCGAGAGTCGCCGACCTTCAATAGAAGGGACCAATTTTTCAAACCAAACTGAATCACGTCTACCTTACTTCCTATCGCGTCACGATCAGAATGGCTTTGTAGTCAGTGTGTGCTATGTGGTTATTCAACCCAACAACTTATGTTATAGTTTTGACCAAAATTATACTGTTCTTAAACAAACAGAGGTAAATGCAGCTTCTGCGGACTGGCCACTTATGCGGCACCAATATTAGCCAACACCTGATATATAGAAACGATTTTAAACCTACCGTTCGTTGATATGATTTGATCAAAAGGCCAGTCTAGACAAGAAAAATACTAGAATCGGCGACAGGCCTACCTATTCGTCAATGCCGAAGATACTATACTAACTCTAAAAAAATATAACTCAGTACTCACTGCAGTGAGTGACAGAGAGCGCGTTTTCTCGTCGACGAAAACTTGAGGTCACGGACAGACGGACGGACATGGCGAACACAATAGTGAATTTTTTCCATAAATGAGAAAATGCGCTAAAAATTGGCACAAACAGATGATCTTCCACTTTGTGATAGCATCACAGTATTTTTCGGCCGTGCTTTAAACCATTGTATTACTTGAACTATTAATCATGTTCGACAGTTTACCGGCAATTTGATCTCAAGACAACATTAAATAACTTTTTTTTCATTATCTATTCTTGAAATATTATCGGAAGTTCTGAACTTAGTCATTCATGTAACGCATTTTTCGTACCTCCTTACTAGTATACTGCTCTAATATTGTTAGGCTACTTACCTGAAGGAAAAAATTAGACCGTTAAATCGGATAGATTTATTACGACAGCCAATATAGAAACCTGCCATATGGAACATCTGCTTCAAAATACGTTCGAAGCGAGGGTGGAACCGATCCCATTACCAACAAGGACAGTCTTGTATGGCAGCACGACCGATCTAAGTTTTTACAGGGCTGAGACATAGCCTCGACTTATAACGTATTTCAAGGCATTTGTATCGCTGACTGATTACCGCAATTCGTTTTTCCAACCATAAAAATTAATTGCGCAGAATCAGTGTATAAATAGATAAATTTACAACATTAATGTAGTAAAATTTAATCACTCAAAATGCTTGCGTTGCCATTGATGCTAGTTCTTTCAAAATTCATCATATGAAGGAAGCGGAATAACTACAGAAATACGATGCACCGACAATAGCTGGCAGTGAGGGAATACTTGCAATAAATATCAGTATAATGAGGCTGGCACGCCTGCAAAATGGATCTCTACAAAGCAGCGGCACCAGAGATGATCTCGATGAGCTCGCCAGTGATGACAGCTTGACGCGTGCGGTTGAAAGTCAGGGTCAGCTTTTCAATCATCTCGCCTGAAAAAAAGTGTATGCTAACAGGAATATCAATGAATTGTTATTTATTAAATGTACTGTAGTCAAAAATCCAACGCACTATTGGCTTGAAAACTACTAATTATATTTTTATTCAAATAACTAAAAGCAGTTTAATTTGCCCGGGTAATCAGTAAAAACAAATAAATTTTCAACTTGGCATATCTATTAAAAAATAAGTAAAACAGACCAGCGTTCTTGCTGGCGCCGTCCATGGCGGTCATCCTGGCGCTCTGTTCACTGCAGGCGCCTTCCTTGAAGGCGTAGAAGAGCAGCGAGGCAAGTGAGTACTCCATGTAGCTCTGGATGACGTCAGCGTCCAGGGAGTCGTAAACTGACAGCTTCTCAGCGCTGGTGATGCTGTCTGCAGTGAACACTGGCAGAACTGTTGTGTTGTATGCCACCACACTCCTGAGAAGAAAGTTAACACGTTTTTATATAATATGATTAGGTATATATTTTATTTGACTTGTAATTAAATACTGATGATACTTTTATGATACTCTTACATGAGAATCTCGACTAACACTGGATAAGATACCGCCAATCCACTGTAGGCTATTAAAAAAAATAATATTAGCTATATTAAATGACAGGTGTGAAATTGCACTTAATAATAGCAATGTTCTCTCGGCAGTGAAAAATTATCGTCAAGAACATGGTGGAAGGGTTTGGTGATCAAATTATTTAAACCTAGATTATTTATCATGAAGCAAGTTTTGAGAGAAAAGTTTTGAGAAAAAAAAATGTTAAGAGCGTCGGCAAAACGAGTTGGACCAACATAAAGTAAGCCAATCATAAAAAAGCCGCTTACGCGATGCCTCGACTACTGTGATTAAATTTGCAAGGAATATGACCAACATAATTACAACCCAGTAACTGAGACTAACCAGCAGGCACTACACGCCGTCTAGTGGATCGCCAAAAAACAGTACCTTAGTACCGGTAATACAAAACCTAGAATTAAATCGACAAAGAAAGACAGCAGTGAAACCGCCTTCATGATGAAAGCGAAAGATGTAGCAGCCCATGAGAGAAAATATAGTAGCCTAGTAGGTGAGAAATGAGACTTGAGGAAGCTTAACTCACTTGAATTTGTTGAAGATGATCTTGCCAGAGCCGAAATCATAACCCGAGTTGATAATGGCTGAAGCAATTACAGCAGCATCTTCAAAAGTAGCGACCTTGCGACCAACTTCATTTACTTGGAAGAGAATGTTGTTGCTGGCCACTCTGCACATCAACGATAGATGAGGATGGTTTGCTCGATTTTAACATAACTAACAATGCATGTTGAGGTTGAGGTATGGACCTTAAAACCAAAGTCAGATATTTAAATACATTTCAATTTCAACAGACTTAGCAGCATAAAACTGAATATTATTTATACCAAAGTTAAAGATTTAATAAATTAGATCTATTGGTTAAAAAGCTACCATTGAAGAAAAAAACTTTCATTCACTAATAGTACGAGCACGTCAAGAAAAAAATATGGACAAATGTTTTCAGTTCAATGATGAGAATGAGAAATTATGACTGTTTTGACTTATCTAATTTCATTGTAAGAAAACAAGTCAGTATATGATAACAATTCATGAATACCAACAAAACAATTTTGTAGAAATTCAACTGACCTCTGAAGCTGAGCCCTTGCTTTGTCACCAATGCACACAATGCCAATATTCTCAGGATTTGGAGATGCAGCCAGTTCTGCCTTGACCATCTTGCACACAGCAGAGTGTATACCACCACACAATCCTCGGTCGGAGGACATGGCGATAATAAGCTCTTTAGGCTTCTCAGCCACGGGGGCAGCCTCAATCTGCACATAAAAATATATTTCTGCTAAAAAAATTTCAAGCTAACACACAAGTAAGATTATCAATATGATAGATTTATTTGGAGAAAGATGTGCAATAATCAACAACAATAATCTAAAGATTTTCTATGAACACCAAAGCAAATGAGAACCAAGATACAACATCAGTGGAGCTGTAATTTATTTATATACCTATATAATATAAAAAAATTAAATTCTAATGCTTCTGAAATACAGATAAGAACATACTACACTCACCTTTTCATAGAAAGCAGCAGCACCTTGACCATAAGGGCGCACAGGCTTGAGATCCCTCTCAGCCCGTGCATACTTGGCAGCAGACACCATTTTCATGGACTGGGTGATCTTTTGGATGTTCTTGACAGACTTAAGACGCATTGAAATGGTCTTAAGGGTTGCCATGCCACGCTCCTGCTGCTGAATGCATCTGCCACTGTAAAATAAAAAAATAGTTCAAATAAAATGCTGAGGTCCAATGAAAACTCAATAAGCTATAGTGCAAACCACAAAAAATCACTTTGAAATTGATGTAGTTAGACAGGTTAACCTGTCAAGGTTTTGTCAATTTATGGCAACTGTGTAATACAACTGACCTTGTGCAAATTCTTAGTTTCAAGTTATAATGTGTTTCATATTTACCAGGGGCTTTCTTGTTCCAAAAATTTTCTTAGCATAGGAGTAGATACAAATATCCTATTGGATCAGATAACCTGAAGCTGGACCATTTCTTTATAACTTGATGAAAACATAAGATTGAGCAAAACCCCCAGCTAAATTGATATATTATACCTGAAAACCAATGCCAAGAATTCCCTCCCCTGCTCCAAATAGTTTTTAGGAATCCTGACAACAGAACTGTTACACTAAGATAAATTGCCTCTAAGCTCTAAAGGTGTGAAAAATTTCAAATTGTAACTTTTAGGCTCCTCTCAAAAGAAGTGCCTTTTAGGTTGCGACATTACAGATTTTCAAGCTTCTCATGGCCCCTAATTGGTATACATGTTTAGTTTCAGAACCAATCACAAATGATCCATCAATCAAGACCACAAAGATAAATAATCTGTTGCCTAGTTTAATATATGCCTCAAGTCCATGTCAATCATGGATTATTGATTAATGTAATATTGAACTGTGGTCTACAGAAGTGTAGTCAGCCATGCCATTGATTGCCAAAATTGTGCCTTGGAATTTTTGTAGCAATGAATTTGGCATCGTTAACCTATGGTGCATCTTATTTTACAATCTGATTTTAAGGGCAATTCTCATAAAATAGTATGTTACTTGACCAATAAATTCACCAAACATGAATCTAGAGCAGAACTCTTCAAAAACCTTGAATAAAAATTATCATTTCAAAATGCATTTTTTGAAAATCATGGAAAGATAATTGGCTTTTTACATTTATTTTTACCAAACAATTATGCAAGGGCCATAGAAAAGGATTACCTATATAAATTGTTTACAAGCAAATGCATTTTTGTCTTATTTATGAGCAATTTTACAAATTTACAAATACTGCTCCTATTGGAGCAAGAGTGCTCCTGTTTTTGGCAACCGCGCTGCTCAATTACATAGGTATATTGTCATTCAGAAGGAATTTGGAATGCCACCATCATGCATAGTGGCAAACCAGTGATTTTTAGGAATCAGTTCATTTTTAATTACTCAAGACTTAAACCAATATCTTCTGTATGATGATGCTGGTCTCCATGAAACTTTGCTGGTATCAATGATACTTTGCTGATCTGCTTATAGGACTTGAAATTGAACTTGAATGAGAGTCTAAAAAAGTCTCTGCTCTGCCACTCCAGGGTGCAGAAGGTGCAAGCAGTGTCACCAAGATATGGTTTTTTAGCCCAAAGCATTGCCAGCCATTTTCAAGATCCACCGCCAGATAATTTTAGATAAGAGAGTGCTGAAAGCAACTTTGATAGTATATCCCTTACTATTCACACATCGCAACACTTACACACATTGCAACTGATTTCCGGACAAGCTTCACTGCATCCTGATCCATCTGGCATACCAGAAACCTTACTGTGTGTGCTTGCAGTCTTTCAGATTTCCAGTAATTTCATAGTTATTTCTCATATGCAATAATTTCAATCCAAATGTGTTGGCAAGATCTTCAGAAGGCGTTAATTTTGCTGCTGATGCGAAGGCTAATATCTTACGATATTCAACCACTTTCTGCACCCTGGTTATCAGTATGCCAACATGTAGTGGCAAACCTGAGATTAATTAGAATCGGTTCATTTTCAATTTCTTAGTCTACTTAACATTTTAATAAATTCATTTATGTTATGTATGTCATGTAGTCATGTACAATAATGCTGGTATTCAAGATACTAACAGAAACTAAATAGTCTACATATAGGACTAAAAATTAACTTGAGGAAGGGTAACAAAAAATGTTCTGCTTAGCCACTATGACTGAATGCAAGTGTGAAAAACATGTAGGTACCTTTAAGGCCACGACTAAAGCTTTCCTGCCATTTCGAGAACTGTCAGATTTCCGCCAGATGAATTACTTCCTATCTGATTGTTAACAATATTGCACGATCAGGCCGCAAGATTTCAAATGTATAAAAAATTTGTCACGTTGAAGCCACGAGATTTCAGAATCAAGTAGGAAAATTCCAAAGAGGGTGCTGTGTGTCCTCTCACTCCTCTGCCCTTTTGCTAATTTACAGGAATGGGTCTAGTATCATGAGTGTATGACTATGACAAATCTGGAATATCAGACAGAACATTCCTAGGGTAAATGCAGTATATTCCAACATCGTGGGTAATTCCGACACTTCTCGACTTATTTCCTTTATATAAAGCTTTTTCTTAGTTCCATGCATTTGTTGATGGTTGAAATAGTGACGTCATACTTTTGCGCGCCATACTATTGCCAAAACACTAGGTCTGGGCCGTCTGGCAAGGAAAATGTTGAGATCCAAAGAGAGACAGTGTGCATCACCCAGTGAGAACATCGAAAAATGTGTCAAAGTTGATAGTGACCTTGCTCAACCAAATAGTAATAAACTGTTTGTGTAGAAAGAATACCGTCAACTGGGGCTACTCGGGACAATTTCGAAAATTTTTCATTCATAACTTCTTACCATGAAACATTTCATAAACAAGTTTAGGCTCATTTCAAAGCTCTTTGCAAGGGCTATCACATGGCTTCTGCAAAAAAATCCATATGCTATTCGTAAGGTGCCAGAAGCAAAAAAGTGTGTCCCGAGTAGCCCTGTTGAACGGGGCTACTCTGGACACTTGGAATAAAACTTCATTTTAAAATATTTGAAGCATGCAGAGTGTACTCATCCATTACTAACAGTACTCTGAAGTCCTCCTCTTTCATTGTAGATGATGTAGAGGTAGAATAAATGACATTTTCTGTGATTTTTACTCGTTTTTCCTTTATTGATATGATATTACCATATACATTGATTACCGTATTATTGATGCAATATTACCATATTATTGATGCAATATTACCGTATCCATGAACATGCCATTGAATATTTACAACAACCTTGTCCACTGCAAGCTTCATATCAGCAGCCTTATAGCATTTTTTCTGTATCTGTAAGCTTACAGGACAGCTTGTAATTTCACACCATTTTAATTGGGTTAAGCGAATTTACTATAAAAATAGATTGTGAAAAACACCTGAAACAGAAAGGAATGTTTTAGTGACAACCATCATATTTTTTGCAGAAATAAATCATAGTTTAGGTCAATTACTTTTCATTCTATGATGCCTGGTGCACAATTCTATATATGACATTCTATGCACAATTTTGTGATGACCAACAATGCACTAATTTTTTGACAAGCGAAATTTTTTTTGCCAAGCAAGGTAAATGTAATCAATATTCTTTGTTTTTAATAACTTTTTTCCTTAACTGGAGCCTTTGCTTACCTGAGGTTCTACTGTAAATGCATTTTTGGGGGTGTCCCGAATAGCCCCAGGGGGGGGGGGTGTCTTGAGTAGCCCCGTCGTGCAGAAATGGCTGCCGTTTTTTTTTTGGATTGAGGTATGTAAATTCTGCAAATAAAGTTTTCAAGCCGACACCCGAGTGCAACTTTTATGTAAGTAAAATTTTTTAATACGGCAAATATTTTTTTTACTACAGACCTTAGCAGAAGTAACTTTTCAAAATAGCGTTTTCACCATTTTTTTTCAGGAATTTTTCAAAGCTAGTAAATGTAGTATATTTTTACTTCCTTTATACTACATAGATAGGAAAAATGTTGACGTTTACGCCACTATATTTAATTTGGCAATATTCCAATTAGTTTTGCTACTAAAACAGTTTTACGCCGTGTTGGAGGACTGTCCCGAGTCACCCCGCCAGTCCCGAGTAGCCCTGGTTGACGGTATTATGGTTTGAGACTTAAATACTTCTGTTAATATATTAGGAATCCTTTAAGTATACTTGTATTTGCTGATTTCAAGTGGTAAAAAAATCAATAGATGATTAAGTTAAGAGATGGTTTTAGACATGTAAAAACTAATTCCAACACAGCTTGGAATTAGACACACACAGCTCATTCCAAGCTGTGTGCAAAAATTAAAATTTTCTTAATTAAAAGCTTAATAGCTCTTAATTAAAAGCCTAATTAAGTAGTGTTCAATATTCAATAGTGTTCTAATTCCAAGCTGTGTTGTATTCCAATACAGCTTACAGCTAACACAGCTATCGGAATTCAAACACAAGAGTGTTGGCATGACAAATTAGTAGAGTTTGAAGCGCGGACGGAATTAGTCTCACAAAATGCCAAATTTAGTCTCACACAGTGTCAGAATGTATGGATTTGGTAGGTTTGCATTCTAAAGGCTTTTAAATAAATATGGCAACATTTTGTGACGTTTCATTGTTGCTGGCCCGTAGTTGATAGTGCGGTGTTTTGAGAGTGACAAAGCAAACAGAACTCAAGTTGCGCGTACAGTGTATTTTTTATAGCCATTCATTTTTTGTTATGTCCTCAAAGTGTTGGAATATACCGCGTTTACCCTATAAACCTAAGTGGAAAAAACGCGACTTCAGATGGATTAGTTTGCCATTTAATGAATTCTGTAGAGGGCTTAGGCTGCAAAAAATTGGCACTAATTCTGCAAGATGCACAAAATTGATAATGAATTCAAGACGAATTCCGCAGCGCAATCAGCAAAGTGAAATCCGCGCGAAGTTCGAAGCCAAGAAGAAAATACGGAAGCCAGACGCGCGATCGAACGGAAGCTACTGGACCAGGAGCAACGTTCATGTTCGTCGACCCACTCAACCGTCGTATTGCTCGAGAAGCAAATACAACGTGAACGCAATCATGAACGCGATGTACAAATACCACCATTCGGCTTACCAACACCAAGTACAAGAGTAATGAGACAACTAAGCAGGTCAGCAACCTTGCAGTTGACATCCCTGATCTGCTAA